ATGATCTTTTTAAGTTTTTTTTGTTGAATATACCGAGAAAGAATTATTGACTTTATCAGATAGAGGATGCGAATACTCAATGTATTTCTGTATATATGAACAGTGTGTCCACTTCAAAGACTTATCACCCCTGTAAAATCGTTATCATCTGATCGATTTCGAAATACTTTTTTTTTTGTTGGAAAGGTCAGTATTCAAAAGGTCCATCAAACATCAAAGTAATTATATTGTTGGACTGTTATCGTGGTCAACTGCGACCAATTTTATTGACCCATATTTCAGAGAGTACCTACTATCAGGGATTCGAAATGAAAAAGATTATGAATTGTGAATCAGGAGCACAGGAACACAAAATATGTACTGATTCTCATAATCATCAAACACAGAGGGTGTCCAAAAAAACTTATTTCTTTTTTTTCTAATACATATTATCAGGAGATGGGCCTATGGGTATAGAGTATGTATTTTTGGAAAGAACTTATGACAAATTTTCATTGAGCACCACTCTGAACATATCTGTACCGATTTTTATCATTCAAATATACGATTTGTCTGAGAAGAAGGACTTTTTATATCTGATAAGTGTACAATCATTTTTTTCATCAATTCCAAAGAAATAAAGAATTTGTTTTTTCCGGACAGCCTCTGTTTATTGATGATAAAATTCAGTACAGGTATGATTCAAGTGATCCTATTTAGAATTCGTCATTATTTTTTGAGAGAAGAATGATCATGATATATATAGGTATTTGAAGTTATCCTCAATAATAATTTGTTATTTGTTTTTCCCTAAAATACCGTAGTACCACATTTTCTGATCACCTATTGAAAAATAATAATAATTCGTTTTTTCGGACACCCTGTGTTTTATGATGATGAAAAGCGGTACGGCCATGTTTCAAGCGACCCTGATTCAGAGTCTATCATTATTTATCGTGACTTTCTGAGATATAGTCGCAGTTGATGGCCACTGTATAACAGTCCAAGAATAAAATCACTCTCTTGTTGGATGGACATGGACACACTGTATATAATTATTTTATGTTCATTATATAAACTGATGAGAATATTCCAATGTTCATCATTATACAGGGAGTATCTGAATAACACCGAAAAAATTCAAGGGACGATTCCTTGTGATATTTTAGGATATAAAGTTCATATGAACATGTGTCCTAACTTGCTTCGTTTTCGAGATACAGGGTATTAATATTTCCATGAAAAATCTTGTTTCTATTCATTTCTCAATTGTCTTTTCATCAATTCCAATAAAAACGTTGTGGTTTCGTTGATAGTAATATAAAGCTTCTTATAGTGCAATTAGATTCGAAATAATATTTCCAGTGGCGTCACCTCAGATCAACAAAATGTCATTGTCCACCACCGGTTTTTCTAAGTTTCATATTTTTATTAGATTGAACTATAAAAAAAACAACTTTTTTATCCTCCGTGTGATGATTTTTGAATCAAGGTTAGTTTTTGAGGAAACAATAAAAAATCGATTTGTCTCCAAATTTTAATGTAGGTGTTTTCAAGACTTCCATTGAGATTACTCAATAACCCCAATCAGAATCATTTTGCTTATACAAGGGGGTTATAAATAAAAACAATTAATAATTCCAACTTCAACATCCTGTATCTAGAAAACGAAGCAAGTTAGGATACATATTTATATGAACTTTTATTGTTAGAATATCACAAGGAAACACCCCTTGAATTTTTTCGGTGTTATTTAAATACACCCTGTATAACTGATGACAATATTCCTTATGAATTGTCTACCTCATTATTACAATTATGATCAGGGGATGTTCAAGAACACTAATGTCAAAAATGTGATGACAATTTCGAGATTGGATTTGAAAAAAACTACTATTTAGTTTTTATTCATATATTGAATAGTGAACCAAAAAAAAATCGATATCAATTATGAAAAACCATTGACAGATGATATTTTGACCTGTTTGTTGAATAATCTTCACTATGTTACAGGCTGATCTGGATCGAATTGTTTTGGAGTGGAGCACACACAAAATACGTTCCTCAAGAAATAGCGTCAGTCCATGTGGCAGGCCATGTATTATGTTCGAGATGCCATCGTTTTATCAAACACACAACTATATATTAGAAGTTCCGTCATTTGCTCTGGATGCCCTCACTTTGGAATGTACTTTCCATAAATATCCTTGTGATGAAGATTTTTATCTTTTATGTGGCATACTCAAAAATGAAAATAATTTATCATTTGAAGATGATCCGTATGGTGCAACAGAATTATACATTAATTTGAGAAGGTTATTGAAAGACATATTCGATTAAAATACTTGTTATTGCATCAATAATGTTTATAATAGAAGACATAATGATAGTATATACTTATAATATAATAAAGATAGGATACACATTGTTTCATTTCAAATGGTGACACCTCAATCACATTTTTTTCATAAGAATATCGATTATGGTAACTTGTCATACTTTTCACGGTGAAAATTATTCACCTCATTGAGTAATACTCCAATTTCAAGTTCAGTTGAGAATAAGAAAGATTAACAGTAATTACACAAGTGGTACTAATTTTTTGATAATCTTAACTAGACGAGTTGTTAATCTAGTTAGTTTTATCTGAAAAAAATTACCGCCACGAATATGTAATTCGGCGTGATTCTTTTTTTAACTTTTTCGCAAAATGCCCAGCGAAATCGAACATTTTACAGCCACACAATTCGGTTTTGGGTCCCCCTATGTATTCATTTAAACGAAGACAAAGTTATTGCTGTTATTTACTACTAACTAATTATCATGCAATATAATACCGACTGCTGTAGTCGGCTGGAGTGATTACGCATTGATATTGGTTGAAAGAACAAAAAGTCACATTTTGACATGTGAAAAAAATAATCAGGATATATAGTTTTTTTTTAATTTCAGCACCAGTTAAAGTCTCGAAAAGTCAATAGATAATTATTGTCGAAATGTATTTTCTATTCGATGATCCTTTTCTATTTCAGTTTTTATGAGGGAACATAGTAAAACATTTTAATTCAATTTTTGTTTACCTTAAAACGCAAAACTTATTGAGGTATTACTTTTATTTGAACTCGATATGAAGTGAAACTCACACTGTATACCAAACTTTTCCCACCCTGTTTACAGACATAATCAAAATAAAAATGTATTCAATGGATAAAACAATAAAAGTCTCAATGTAAAATAGATGATATTTAATGAATGAACCAAAAAATCATCTCCCATCACAGATACACTCTCAGAACAAGGTCTTCGCATATATTTTGAATGCTCTATAACTTTATATTTTCTCCTATATACAAAATATGAATTTTCTCATTCGTCCTCAAATATGTGGGGCGTTTCCAAACGTCATGTACGTATTGTAGGAGGTAATATTTTGGCTCATAGAACTACGCCTTGGTTGCGCCTTGGTCTACACTCTACGGCTCGTGTTGCAAACTTCATTCTCGTGAGAAATTACTATACTATTTTCTACGGTTATAACACAAAATGCTCTTGTTTTACTGTGTTCGATAAGTCGATGAGGTACTTTGTATGTCATCAAATTCATTTCTGTATCGCATATCACATCACTTCATTGTGTTATTATTTCACAAAATCTATGAAATGTCGAATGTAAAGCAATGATAGCTCTGTCTAATGACAATATATATACGTAATAATTTAGACAAGTATTTTTCGTCCGCAGGCACAAACTTTTCGGCCGTAAACACTTTTCATCCGCTGTGCTCACGGTGCGAGAGCGGCGATCGAGTTGACAGCTGTCAACAGTAACTGTCGTTTGCTGTTGTAAAATTAATTAATCAATTAAACACCGAAAAAAATTCAAGGGGTATTTAAGCAAATAAAGTTCATATAAACATGTATCCTAACTTGCATCGTTTTTGAGATACAAGCTGTTGAATTTGAAAGTATTGTTTTTATGCATAACCCCCTTGTATGAGCTTCCATTATCGTGTCAAAATTCAGTATGGTTGGAGACTGACAAATCCCAAAAATTCCAAAATTATTGTAATTGGGGTTATCAAGTGATCTCAATGAAAGTCTTGAAAACACCTACATTGAAATTTGGAGTCAAATCAAATTTTTATTGTTTCCTCAAAAACTGAGCTAGATACAAAAATCTCACAGAGGATAAAAATGTTGTTATTTCAATAGTTCAATCTAATAAAAATATATAACTCATAGAATCCGGTGGCGTACAATGATATTCGCCATAAATATCGATAAATTAACCAAATGTGATGCCACTGGGAATATTATTTCGAATCTGATTGCACCAGAAAGAGCCTTCATATGTCTTTAACAAAACCACAACGTTTTATTGAAATTGATGAAAATAAGACATATGAGTAATGAATAAAAAACGATTTTGCATGGAAATATTAATACCCTGTATGAAGCAAATTAGGACACATGTTTATATGAGAACTTTATTTCCTAAAATATCACAAGGTATCACCCCCTCATTTTTTCTGATGTTATTCAAATCAACAGAGCTCATCAGTGGTACCCGGTCTGTGAAAAATAAATTTCTAGAACATCTATGACAAGATCAAAAGTGACTATACATTTGACCAAACTGCAACACTTGTCGCAGATCACCTATCTCAAATTAGTGAAAAATTTCGTGAAAACAGTAAGCTGAATCATAATGGAAAATTCCCAAAATGTGAAGTTAGTTAATTTGCAGAAGATACCAGACAGCGAGCAGTTCAGCGGTGGTTCAAATAAATATTGTTATTGACATGCTTTGGTGGCAAATAGAATGAGATCCATAAGCAAGAATCACATCACTCTGAGATCAATAGATTTTATTAAAACCGAATACATATAAAGTGAAAATATATAGATGACATAGTAATATTACTAATACAAACGTAAGTGACAAATACTGCTAAAAAAACTCCTAAAAAAAATGTATGCTGAACTAGAAGTTTTTTTCGGAACAAAGTTCTGAAAAAATATTATGCGAAACCAAAGGAATTGCAATTTCCAAATGCGAAGTTCAAGGCACTTATGAACTCCTCATAACTTTTGTGGGTAACTGGCAACTTCAGCACCAAGCCACAAGTGTTTGCTTTCGGATAAGGACTTGAGTCATCATGTAAGAATGTTATCTGTGGTGATAGCGGAAAACCCAAAGGGGGGATGTGATTCGCCCCAGTTGCAAATATCAAAATATCCACCAAAGATATTTTTTCTTCGGAGCCACATTCTCCTTGACGATTTGAGTTGGCTGCAGATTTAAAAATTCATTTAGCGAAATTTCCACTTGAAAAGTACATATTTTACCTTCACATTCGAGTAGATAATCTCTAAAATAGGTGATAACTTTATTCTCAACTTTCCGTGTGTTTGATCCTATGGTACTGTATTTAACTTCGAAAAGCCTTTCTAAATCTTCTGCCGTTATTATTCCAACATCATCACACATAGGACTCATGAATAGATCTGGGAATTTCACCATGTATTCGTGAACGTTGCATGTTTTTAATCCATCGATAAATTGGGCTAAAGCTTCTTGAATTATATTGATAACATAGAATTTGAGTGTACCTGCGGATTAATTGATACCAATAAAAATAGTTGAATTGAACAGAGTCCGATCATCACCAACCTTGTATAATGTCAGATTTGTCTTGAAAATTGTATATAAAATTGTATCCTGCAATAGTGAAAATACTGGTGTCAGTGATCACGTTTTGGGCCTCGGAAAGGCTTTCCGTATTTTCCAGTTGTATTAGAGCTGACTTGATGTCTTCTCCTACATCATTCAATGTTGGTAATGCGTTTTCTACCTGTCCTGTTATTAATCTGAACAAACACTCAGAGAAAAAATGTGGAGCCGGTCCACCATGTACCAATGAGAGTGCAATGATGCGTCCAGCCTCATAATAATGGTTGTTTTTCAGAGCTTGTGCATTCAATGAAAGGTGTTTTTTATACGAGCCTGTGAACATTGGACCTTCTTTGATAAAATTGATCACAAGTCTGAAAAGTTCCCTCGTGGGACCTCCTTCATCTATTGCCCCTTCTGAAGTACCCTCCATGTCACTGAATTTGACGAAGATTTTATTGTAGGGGGAGAATGATTGCCGCCGCATAGCCCTAACGCAACATGTGAAAATTTCTTCTCGAAATACATTGAATGTATTCGATTCCTCATTATTGATCGGCTCCTGTAAAGTCTTTACAACATCCTCAAATGTCTGATGAATATTTTCTGTAGCAAGTTGCTCTGATGATCGCTCCATCTCTTCAATGATACTATTGTCCTGCAACATACAGATTGGGGAATGATTTGAAATTTCTGAGGCTATTTTGTTCGCATCATGATCGAGTCCATCGAGAATTGAATTCACAAGGTACTGATACTCATTATTTATTGCTGTTGATTCTGAAGTGCATTGACCTGTTTGGTATTGTGATTCAGCTGAACATTGTGCTGGTCGATAGTTATCGCAGCCCAGCACTGAAAATGAAAAAAAAAAGAATAATTAGCTTTTTTTGTTGAAGTGAACATGTCATTCCAATGAGATCTTGTTTCCTGGAAATTAAACGAAAAATACTGCCGTTAAAAAAATTACGAGTCCGTAGGACGAGTCATTTTTTCAGGCAGTGTTTTGACTTGATCAATTTCCCAAAGGCAACAAAACTTATAAATGTTAAAAACCAGAAGGATGCTTGAGTGTAATTTGGTAAGACAATTTAATGAATGCGTAAATCACGTCATTTGTTGTAGTGATTCACACGAGACCAACGAGACGAGACTTTCATGAAGTCTCGTCTCGTCTCGCCGATGAAATATGAAGCCTGGCTCGAGTCTCGTCTCGCAGCCCCGAGTCTCGTCTTGTCTCGCGTCTCGTACGAGAGTCTCGCAAAAGTATCGCAATTTCGTTATGCATAATGTCTAGTACGGGATATTTACCTTTGCCTACTTTCTAGCAGGGTTGGCATGAATTAATTCATATGAATTAAATCAGTGATTTAATTCGTGAATAAATTCCATAGACTTTTTTCGAAAAAGTCATGAATTCATTCAAATTATTAAAAATGAGACAAATCGCACTATTACCTTTGATTTCAACTACCTAGTTCAAACTGAAAAATTCGATCGTATTTTGGCAAGACTTTGTTATTTCAAGCATGACAGAGATTTTTACTAACAGATATATACAGTATCAAGTATCATCCATGAAGTCCATAACATTATGAGAACAGGTTTATTATCACAGCATCGAATTTTTTTCTCTCGGCGATCCATTATGCATATCCGATAACTTGAAAATCGATTTTGACACATGTCACGTGATCACTGGTATATGGTGATGAATAAAAATAATACTATAAAGCGACGAAAAGTGGGGTTAGCTATTCCACATTCAGTTTCGAGCAATTTTTGGAGGAGGATTGGAAATAGCTATATTTTTTCGAATATTCTTCAATTTTCTTAAAATTCTTTTTGTTTTCTGACAGTAGTGATGAGAAAACTGAAAATAGCTATTTTTATATTTTTCTTTAAATAACTTCATCTTCCCATCTAACCCAATTTTTGCCATCGTGATTTTTTGAATTTACTGCCATACCAGTGATCAAGTGACATGTGTCAAAATTGACTTCTGAGTAGTCAGACATGCATAATAGATCCCCGAGAAAAAATGTTTCGCTATTAAACTTTTTCTCCATGTGTTACGAACTTTATGGATGATACTGGATCTATATGTATCTATTATTTTGTATTCTATCATCACTTTCAATTTTGTTTTGAAAAAATGACATGTTATATTATGATGTTATTCTACAAGATTTCTGAAGGGAATAAAAACATAGTTTTTTTGTTTCTTTTTTTCTATTTTGCTTAGGGTAAATGAAATTTGTTTGTTTTTTTTTCAAATGAATTAATTCAAAAAAATCTGACTTAATTCAAAAAGTCGGATTCCGATGTTTTCTTATAGAATTCTTCCTGAACATGTTTTATTATGAATGAAATTCTCAAGTCTGCAGTCGGCACGCAGAAATATTTACCTGCGAGACTCTCGCACGAGACACGAGAAGTCTTGCACGAGACTCGAGACGAGACCAATGAAAGTCTCGTCTCGCCTTGTCCGAGTCTCGTCTCGAGTCTTGTCTCGAAAACGAGACGAGACCATGCGAGACTCTCGAAAACGAGACTCTCGCGGGCACCACTAATTTGTTGATGGATTTTTCAATTCGTCCACTCGAAGACTCTGCAAATCGCGACATTTCCACAGATTAGATACTTTTCTGGAAACGCAAAATCAAGAAAAACTGACATAAACGCCATCAAAGATTCGTACACAATTTTGGTTGTCATGGTTTCAAATGTTAGGTTCCGTTATGTCGCTGGGAGGGCGAAGTTTTTCCGCTGTCATTCAATTATCACTGGAACAATAGTTCTTGGTACAACCAGATAATCCTACTATCACAACAAGGCTGACTCGTTAACAGATCTATGTCATGGAAATGCAACTTTCGTTATATTATTTTGACAATGCTACATTGACAGGATATAATTTAATCATCTGGCTTTATACTACCTATAATATGTACTCTTTTTTTTCTCGTGTACCGGGGGTTGTCCAGATAAAAATGCAAGTGCTGTATCTCGGAAACTATTGGTCAAAGAGACCCGATGTAAAAAATGTCATGACTGAAGTGACCGAAAGAAGATCTTGGAAATCACGTTCAGGTTTTCAAAATGGCCACCTAGGGGCGTAACAAACTGTGGCGTAACCGCCATCTGATCACTTGAAGTTATTTTTCACCGGAATAAACCTGACCTAGTAGGTGAATGCATCAAAGAATATTCTTTCTGAGCTGAGGTTAATTAAATTCATTTTTGTTAACACTCCAGTGGTGACGTAGTTTTACGGAACATGAATGGTGACGTCGGTCTGAGAGAAATTTTCTTTTTCGGGAAGAAAAAAATATATGCAATCAAAATAGAGTTAGTTGACATATTATTATTCTGCTCAAAGCAAACCTCATTGGGAATCAAATCAATCAAAGATCCTCTTCATCGGTTATACATGTTTCCATGTGATTCAAAATTATTGTTGATCTGCTCCTAATATGGTTCAACTTCACATGAAACAAATTAAAACAATGTTTATATTTTTTGCATGAACATAAAAAAATATTGCATGCGACTCGTGGAAGAAGTGTGCTTCAAATTCAACATTTCATGGGAGATGAGATTTTGTGAAATTATATCACAATGAAGTCATTGTGATATCGGATACGGAAATGAAATTGATGACATACAAAGTACCTCATTGATGTATCGAACACAGTAAAATGAGAGCAATTTTTTGTTGAAGCCGTAAAAAATACGTATTTTTACGGCTATAACACAAAATGGCTCTCCGTAGAGAAATAAGCTTTTCTACGACTATAACACAGAATTGCTCTTGTTATGTGTTCGATACATCAAGGAGGTACTTTGTCTTCAATTTCATTTCCGTATCTGATGATATAACAATGAATCCAGTGTGTTATTATTTCAGAAAACTCTCATCGCCAAGGGAATGTGAAATTTCAAGCAATGACAGCTCTGTCTGATAAATGAGCATTACTTGAGGGGCAATCAGATGGCTACAAGACGAAGAAATCAAAAATGTCACTGTTATTTGTTATAGTAGGAGAACCGACTGCCGATTTCAAGCGTCATCTGATTACGAAATGATTTCCCAAAGGAAAGTAAGAACATTGTAATTCATCGAACGGCACCTGTGCAAATCACTATCCTGAGCGAAATGATTAAAAATTGCACTTTCCTGTGCAGAAATCTGCCTTCGATTTGATAACGAGATAAAAATTATGCCATACGATATCAATTGAATGGTAAATCTCAAAAACCTACCTGTGCCACCTCTCAGTCTGAGCCAAATCCACGGCACAGCGATTTATTTGCTCCTATTATTCCGGACATACTTCCGTCATGTGATAACGAGTTGAAACAAAAAGCAAATGAAAGGGAAAAATGTCCCTTTTGCGAATATCCAAACTTGCCGCGATTCAAACTGATTTAAGCTAGTGGCAGAGCGTCAATATTTCCGTGAATATTTCGCTCTCGTCGGAAGAAAATATCCGATGGACCAGTGTGACACTCATGTGGTGCTACTGGTGCTCACACTACAAGTATTCTAATCCACATTTTGTGTTTCACACTGGTCTATCGGATATTATCTTTAAAGGGGGGCAAAATATTCTCGGAAGTATTGACGCTCTGCTACTAACTTAGATCAGTTTGAATCGTGGCACGTTTGGATATTCGCAAGGGTGTCATCATTCCCATTTATTTCCTTCTTGTTTCAACTCGTAATCACATGACGGAGGTATGTACGGAATAATTGCATCAAATAAATCGCTGTGTCGTGGATTTGGCTCAGACTGAGGGGAGGCACACTTAGGTTTTCGAAATCTACCATTCAATTGGTATCGTATAGCATAATTCTTATCTCGTTATCAGATCTCCAAATCAAGTGCGAATTTCCGCACAGGATAGTGCAATGTTTCAATCATTTTGCTCAAGATAGTGATTGGCACACGTACCGTTCAATAAACCACAATGGTTTTACATGCTTTTGGGATATATTTCAATTTAGTTATCAGATGGATGTCGAAATTTGCAACCGGCTCTTGAACTATTACAGCCATAGAGGAATTATAGTGTATAACTTGCACGGAATGCTAATTTCCCACTCGAATGATTGCACACTCCATTCTCGTGGGAAATCACTATCATTCCAATCTCGTTAAACGATATACCTACTATTATCGTTTATCTAAATATTATTTCTTGAATGAAATTCCTCACCTATGGAAGAAGTCGAAAAACTAGGTAATGAACAATATTCTGGATCATATTCAATATTCTCAGTATCATCGGCATATGACCTACTAGTGATGGTTGCTGGGATATATTCTTCATCATCGGTAAGCACATCTATTTTGTATTTTGTGGCCAAGTAACACCTCATAGTTTTTACTGCAGTCAAGTCATACATTTCTTGAACTGTTAGATCCTCGCATAATGCATGACTTTTAAAATCTAAAAGTTCACAGTCAAATAGGGATAAACTTCCCTTGGGCGATACACCATCAGGAAAAAATAATTCTTTTGCTATGATCAGTATGTCTGAACATTTAAAATTCTTCGATATTGAAATTCTTCTTGTACCGCCTCCAAATTTCGCCCTGACTTGCTTGTAATCTTTATTTGTCTTATCGGCACAAAGCCAACCAATCTCTATCGATCTTGTTGGTTTTTTGGTATGCTGCTGTTCATTGAATTTTTGAGGACGTTTTCTTTTTGAACCTTTTTCTTTGGATTCCATTTTACTTTTCAGTTTTTCTATTAAACTCTGCTTATTACTGCGTGCTGTTCTTTTACAGAAGTTTAAAATGGCTATGCGATCGCCACATTTTGGAATATGTTTCTTTAGATCATCTTCTTCCATTGATAAAAGTGACTCGCCATCAATCTGCAATGAGTTCAAAAATAAATATTCGGTAATTTCATAGAGTGCTATCTAGAATCAGAATATCGGTGGGAAACTATTGAGAGAGCAGGACTTGAACAATTCAAAAAATAAAATATTTGATAGGATAAAAATGTCATATAAACATATAAGTGAAATATTGATAGTTTTGGAAATATTGGCACTTTCATGAATTTCGTGAAAATCGAAACCTTTGATCAGTATTTCTAGGGCCGCGAGTACAAAACTTCATAGTTTGAGATTCTAATTTTTGTTATACAACCTGTATTAACCCTTCTATTGATTACACTCCAAAATGAAAATATTGGTGCATATCTTTAACGATTTTTTCGTTAAAGATATGTTTGCCCAATTCACGAGTTAATTTATTTCAATTAGTTTATACTTAGACTCCAATGGTATTGCACCAATATTTTTATTTTGGATTGTAATCAATAGATTGATTATTGAATGTTGCATATCAAAAATAAAAATCTTCAACTATGAAGTTTTTTACCTGCGGTACTCGAATAAATACTGATACGTGGAGTTTTAATCATAAATCTAATTATTGCGATCACTGAGCGGTCAACGTTATAATTCATAAAGTCGGCTTCATATGGGAAAAACTTTTATCAATGACTTATTTTGGAATTCGAGTTGGACGTTAAGTTTTGCTTCAAAAAAGATGAAAAATGGCCTACTCAATCGGGGTCACGTGACTTTCGCTACATGTCAAAAGTGAAATTTTTTCAAATTAATCGCTGAAAGTAGGCTTATTTGTTCGAATATCGAAAAAGTTCACTTGAAAAAGTTGTTTCTATTTCAATTTTACACATGCTGCTCGAATTTGATCTTTCTATTGCAACTTTTAGATTTTGATTTTTTTTTAATTCTTCGAAATTTCTGTAATAATTGAAGAATTGTTAATTCCACGAAACTACTTCATACCAGTAGCTTTTTCATGCTACTTACTTCCAATTACTTATTATCACTGATTATGGACAGAAATATGATTTTCTTCAGAAAATGATAATACCCGCTTCCAAATTCTGTTATGTTTGATGCAAAATTGATATATCGTCAAGCATTTAGAAACGAAATTCATTTAAACTGATCTTTTCAGTACTGAGAAAATGAATTTAAATGAATTTCGTTTCTAAATGCTTGACTCAAACATAACAGAATTTTGATGTTATGTTTGCATCAAACATAACAGAATTTTGAAGCGGAGATTATCATTTTCTGAAGAAAATCATATTTTTGTCGATAATTAGTGATAATTAGTAATTGAAAGTAAGTAGCATGATGAACCTACTGGTATCAAGTAGTTTTATCAAATTTACAATGTTTTTAATATTACAGAAATTTCGAAAATTTTTAAAAAATATCGAAATCTAAAAAATGTAATAGAAAGATAAAATCCGAGTCACATATGTAAAATTTGAATAGAAACAACTTTTTCAAGTAAACTTTTTCGATATTCGAACAAATAAGCCTGCTTTCAGCGATTAATTTGAAAAAATGTCACTTTTGACATGTAGCGAAAGTCACGTGACCCCAATTGAGTAAGCCATTTTTCATCTTTTTTGAAGCAAAACTTAACGTCTAACTCGAATTTCAAAATAAGTCATTAATAAAAGTGTTTCCCATATGATGCCGACTTTATGATTTATGAATGACACTGTATATGCGCATGTGGGAAGTTTCAAATGGTATTTATAATGTTGTAAGTGGAAATATTTCCAGGAAATGGAAATATTGGAAACTTTCGAATGTGCCTCGAGAATATTGGAAGTATTGGAAATATTTTAAAAAAATCATACAAGGTACAAATACCGATGTTTATTAATATATCTTTCATATTTCGTGGCACTCAACTTACTATAGAAATATTTTCACAAACATATATATAGAGAGTGTTCAAGGGGCTATTTCTTTAGCGATACTAAAAAGAAAAGTTTATATGACCCTAGTTCCGAAAATGCATAGTATAATGGGTCAACTATAGTACCTTATTACTAGGACAAATAACACTGCAATATTTCAAAAAAATTGGATCAGAGATATTTACCTACGGAGAAGTATTTTTTTTCAAAATCTTTGACAATATGCATCTTGAAAACGATTCATTTCTGGGCCCATGTTCACATACACTTTGTGAAAAATCAACTTTTGAAGATTGGCCACATACTCTAATAACACCCTGTATAGTGAATAAACAGAGCTCGACGATTCACCAACTTATTGGCAACATCGGATTTTTACGGCTGGCGCTTGAGAAGTCCCGACGCCGTAGGGGAATTCCCTGGTAGACATGAATACTATGAGAATAACTTTTTAATCGTTTATGCATAGGCATCCTGTGTTTTGTAATGTGTTATATATACCTTAATAAATATTCCTTTTTTTTTATTTTTTAGTGTTCTATATATGTATATAACCTATTGCCAATATTTTCAATATTTCCAATATGTTTCAGGAAATATTTCCGGAAATATCTAGGTATTCAGGAACACACTGTGCAAAGAAAATCGTTGAAAAAGTTGAACTGGATACATTATTACTTACGTTTTCTTTCTTAAAATAGTCAATGATAGTCTCCGGTATTTGTCTACTCCTCAGGAAATGTTCTAGCAACATAATATCACAGTCGTTAGAGTTGTTTTCCTAAAAATAAGAAACCATTTGACTTACTTAGTTCATAATTTTTCAATATCTACTAGATATGGGTAAACCATGCCAACGTTCAGATAAAGGTACCATGAATGATTTCTGCTCCTACCATTTGAAATTAGTAAGTTTTTTTTTATTTCGACATTCAACATTCGATGATCTAGACAACATGGATATAAGACATAACACGCCAGTGTTGCCAGTTGACATAATAAATGACCACACCACGAACATGCGCGATAGCTGAAACGTTTGCGGTTGGTTTGCGCGCATGTGGTTTGCGCAGGTGGTTGGCGCATGAGCATGATCGTATACCGGGTGACACAGACTCATGGTATTCCTTTCTTTTCTCCATTGTTTTTGATATATTTCTGAAATTTGGAACATGGAATATGTTCACTGGAGGGCACTTTTTCACATTTTAGGATTTTTGTTCATCTTCCGGTTCTCCTGGATATGACATATACTTTCTAATTTCAAATGGATCACCCTGTATTTTATTCCACAATCGGTTTGGGATTATTATGTGTTATCTCATCTATGGTCACAGTATATTGCTTAGCAATATACTGTGCTATGGATGAGCGTGACATACATTAGGTCATTGAGTGCAGTTTTGAAATCCTTTGATCTTCGCCTCACCCATTATTCTGTAGAAGTCGCTACGTATATAAACGTACTCAAATGATCCTAGTAGTTTCTCTGCTTTTATCCATAGGCGTGCCTCGTTTTTTTTTGACTGCAGCACTAAACGTTGTCGTGTTATCAAGAATTTTGTGAAAATCTCATTGTATGTGAAGTTTCTCCATTTACTATGAATGTCCATCATGAAACGGCCGTGTCAATTCAAAAGTACTCACATAATTCGGAAAATAAGATTTGAGACAAATTTGAATCAGTCAGTATTCAGATGTTATCATAGAGTAGGAACTTATGGTTAGGATTGATTATACAGTGTGTCTTTCAGAAGTATGGCTACGGTCTCATATTCCAGAAACGAATCGAAGAAAAGTCATGACATTTTCTTCTTCTTCTTTCAGGATGGTTCTTGATGATGCCCAATTCAAAATGGTGATATTGACAATATCGCCAAATGAAAAATTTTTGAGATATTGAGGGTAACTCATTTTTTCAAATCGAACTCGCAATTTCTTTTCATTGCGAATCATTTCAGTGCCCCCTTATTACTTATTTCTACAAATATCAGATTTTGATCAATGTGGTTGAATTATGTGCGAACGGTCTAATGTTTTCAAAAGGGCTCTAAGAAAATTCATGAAATTTTATTCAGGATGATTCTTGATGATGTCAAATCCAATGATAGTATTGGAAATGTTGCCAAGCCGACAGTTCTTATGCTGTTATCATATATTGTCAGAAACCACATCAATTCCAAATATGATGTTTGGAAATATAAGTACTGAGGGGCACTGAAGTGATTGCAATAAAAACATAGGGTGTTCTATTTGAAAACAAAAATTTCCCCCCAATATCTGAGAAAATGTTAATTTGACAATATTGCCAATATCACCATGGAATTAGGCATCAACGAAAGCCATCATTCCATATGTGATGTTGTCATTACTAACGTCATTGATGGTTGGGAAGTGTCACATTACACACCTCTACTTCCCGCCCTCACTTCCCGCCCTTCACTACTTACCGCCCTCACTTCCTGCCCTCACTCATGTAATAATTCAGGTATCTTCAGAACGAAACATAGATTTATTAATTTTGATCGAAATATGATGGTTGTAATTAAAATAGTATTTCCATTTCCATACTTTCGAAAGACACCATTATACTCACTCACCCACCTATACCGGGTGGCTACGGAAGTATTGCCTACGGAATATCTCAGTTATTGTATGAAGTAGGTTTGTGAAATTTGAAGCGTCGATATGATGACATAAGAGGTAGAATTTGAGCATATTGACATGTCGAAGTTAACTTCCGGTCTGACCGGAAGTAACATCAACTTTCTTATTTTTAATGAAAACCCTATTTTTTTTCTTTTCGCTTTATTCATCATTCAATCCCTTTTCTAATGACATATCACAAGTTGGTATCTAACCAGAAACAAGATCAGAAAAAAATTATTATTGAAATTCACCGAGTAGGCCGTGGAAGCAAAATGAAAGCCAAAAATTGAAAAGTTAGCTATGGAAACCATACGTCACTTGATGACAGTTGCTACTACTGTGATATTTTATTTTCATTCGTCGGCGTTATAAAAAGCCGCCAAAAAAATATTGGAAAAATTGGGAAAAAACAATACCTACATAACTTAAATAGGAACATACAACTTTTTCTTGCCTGTACTATTCAGCATAACCATTCCTTTCTAATGATATAATAGAAAGTCATTTTTTTTGCTTCCACGGCCTACTCGGTGAATTTCAATAATAATTTTTTTCTGATCTACTTTCTGGTTAGATACCAACTTGTGATATGTCATTAGAAAGGGAATTGGATGCTGAATAAAGCGAAAAGAAAAAAAATTAGGTTTCCATTTAAAATAAGAAAGTTGATGTTACTTCCGGTCAGACCGGAAGTTAACTTCCACATGTCAATATGCTCAAATTCTAGCTCTTATGTCATTATATCGACGCTCCAAATTTCACAAACCTACTTCATACAATAACTGAGATATTCCGTAGGCAATACTTCCGTAGCCACCCGGTATAACCTTAACTACGTCGTACTGGACGATTTTCCTGTAATCCAAATGTAGGTACTCCAACGGACAGGTTGTTAGAATAACAACCTATAACAACCTTCCAAACCAACTAGCACAGAGCACAACAACTATTAAACACCTAACAAAATACCAAATGAAGATTGTAATGATAAAAATACTTCACCACCACAGAAATCGAAACTTCTACATCACTGCAAATCACTAGAAAGGAATTATAAAACATAGAAAATGGGTGTCCTGGAATTATTTCATATAGTTGGCATATTCACATGACCATTGAAATAAAATTATAATGCTCATGATTTTAACATCAAACTCATGTTGAAATTGTCACAAAGAATGTGATATTCTATTATTTTTAAAAGAATCAATTATTCCATGAAATATTCAGCAGCACTCAATACTTTGTCCAAATCAGACTTTGACCCTACTTAGTGTTGATCGAAGTTTCCATATTCAAGCTCAATGGGAGTGACGGCGCAATATTGGAACTTCTTTCTTTGTCACTCTCATTATGCATATGCATGAAATGCCAATATCTTCGTAATCGTTTGAACTAACCCAATCAAACCTGGTATCGTTGAATTCGTTATAATAGTCCATTACCGATCATATGGTATAAAATACAAGGTTTTTCCATTCGAAAACCGGAAGATGAAAAAAATTCGAAAAATCTGAGAAAGTGCCCTCTCTAGCTAGTGAGTATATTCGATGTTCCAAATTCCTGATTAGAACAAATGAGAGGAGGGAGGTTAACCATGAGTCTGATGTATGTCATCAGGTCAGAGAATAGTAAGTTCATATATCTACGCTTCAGTAGGCAGTGTTTTGATCGAATCACTTATTATGAAAGATGCAAAATGCAACTGAAACATCAGTAAAACGAGTAGAATGTTCAAAGAAATAAATCAGGATTCATTTGACAAAAATTTCCGAATATTATACTTACCATAAATAATAAATTCTCCATAAAAGATATCCAGACTATTCATTATATTATATTATTATATCTTACCAGCTTTGAATCCTCCATTTGTGAGTTTTTGGTCTAGTAACACTCATCACGCATGAAAATTGTGGCGAATATCCACAAAACTGGATAAGAGAACACAGGTATCCCTTTATTCATGGACCCCCGACTTTAATCTCGGACCCCCGACTTTAAAGTCGGACCCCCGACTTTAATCTCGGACCCCCGACTTTAAAGTCGGACCCCCGACTTTAATCTCGGACCCCCGACTTTAAAGTCGGACCCCCGACTTTAATCTCGGACCCCCGACTTTAAAGTCGGACCCCCGACTTTAATCTCGGACCCCCGACTTTAAAGTCGGACCCCCGACTTTAATCTCGGACCCCCGACTTTAAAGTCGGACCCCCGACTTTAATCTCGGACCCCCGACTTTAAAGTCGGACCCCCGACTTTAAAGTCGGACCCCCGACTTTAATCTCGGACCCCCGACTTTAAAGTCGGACCCCCGACTTTAATCTCGAACCCCCGACTTTAAAGTCGGACCCCCGACTTTATTCTCGGACCCCCGACTTTAAAGTCGGACCCCCGACTTTAATCTCGGACCCCCGACTTTAATCTCGGACCCCCGACTTTAATCTCGGACCCCCGACTTTAAAGTCGGACCCCCGACTTTAAAGTCGGACCCCCGACTTTAATCTCGGACCCCCGACTTTAAAGTCGGACCCCCGACTTTAAAGTCGGACCCCCGACTTTAATCTCGGACCCCCGACTTTAAAGTCGGACCCCCGACTTTAAAGTCGGACCCCCGACTTTAATCTCGGACCCCCGACTTTAATCTCGGACCCCCGACTTTAAAGTCGGACCCCCGACTTTAATCTCGGACCCCCGACTTTAAAGTCGGACCCCCGACTTTAATCTCGGACCCCCGACTTTAATCTCGGACCCCCGACTTTAAAGTCGGACCCCCGACTTTAAAGTCGGACCCCCGACTTTAATCTCGGACCCCCGACTTTAAAGTCGGACCCCCGACTTTAAAGTCGGGATTCGAAAAAAAAAAGTATAGGTGGCCCTTCAGCGCCTTCGTAGTATATCCAATATCAATTGCAGAATATCCCGCACTGTGCGGCGTTGGCGTTTTTGAAGTTTCCTTTGAAGTGAGTGCAGATGCGGCCCGAGAGTCTTCAATTGTTTTTGGATAAACATACAATAATGGTATAACTCATTTTTCGACATGGTTCCATGATGATAGTTTCGAAACTAGGGGTTTTCGGTCATGAAAAATTACAATTCATTATCTATGGCATTAATTAATACGCACTTTACTTTTTATTCTTCAAGTTAGCGGTACTTTCAATAGGGAATATGAATGAAACATAATTTTAACAAAAAAGATTTATTCTTGTTATCAGTTCCAAAACTTGTCAGTATTCGAGATAATGGAATTTCAGAGATCATCAGTTGCATAAATCTCAATCATTTCATTATAGGAAATACCAACCAATAACGTAGTAGGCGTCTATACTAGGGCTGCGCAAAAATATCGATATATCGAATAACGATACCATAGAAAAAAATATCGATATATCGATATTTATCGATATATATCGATATTTATCGATATTTATCGATATTTATCGATATTTATCGATATGTATCGATACATAACGATATACAACAAACAAACCATTGGTATTATTGTTGTGTAAATTTGTACAATCTGGTGAGAGTTTAGGATGTTTTGCATTGTGAAAATTTTAATACAGTTCTACAGTAAGATATATCGATACATATCGATATGTATCGAAACTGTCTAATATTCGTAACTGGCAATAATTTCATAAGATGTAAGAGAATCCACTTGAATATCTTCATCATTAACTTCCGACGACGAGAACGAAAGAACCTCGGTAGATACTTTTAATCATATCAGCGAACGTTTTCTAAATGACATAACACCATCTTTGGACAACTCGATGTCATTCACAAAATCCTCACATTATTAGAAGTGCAATAATTAGGAAAATAATCCATAGATCCAGACAAGGTATTCAACACAATATTAGCCATTCTAAACAACTATTGTATTTTCAATATTCCAATGAATGTATCGATACATATCGATACATATCGATACATATCGATACATATCGATATATCAATAGATATCGATATATCAATAGATATCGATACCAAAGCGTGCATCGATATCGATATCCAGTTTTCAATATCGCACAGCCCTAGTCTATACCCTAATAATGTTTTCAAAGCTAAGAAATATTGTCGTAGTATGCAGATATGACAAAAAATATGAAATTAAAAATATTACAGAAATGATAAATTATGAAAAAAATGGTGTTTAGCTATCAATACTAACCTCGACGTCCGCCTACTACGTCAATATTTTCGAGCTGTCAAAGTATTTGTAGTGTAGACGCGCATATTACATTAATACTGGCCCAAAATAATAAATTGAATTATTTCTCGAAAACTGTCAAGTTTTGGGATCAATAACAAGAATAACCTATTTTTGTTGAAATGATGTGTCTTTAATATCCCTTAATAAAAAAGTTGCTAACATATAAACAACAAACTAGTTAAGTGGCTTATGTGGGGTCCAAATAACCCTATTTTCACCATTTTTATATATCCATGTTCAAAAACGTCGTGGTCATTGCGAGAAAATAATTTCAAAATGTCAACATTCAGACCCTATATCTCCATTATTAGCAATATTTTATCAAGGTAAGCTGGTTCAAATGGTAATGTTATAAAGTAAAAAACCTACTACACTTCTATGTACAATTACTTCAGAACCACCCTGTATACTGGCTGTGATTGAAACAATTATTTGACTTTAATAATGGCATGCCCTCGATTATCCATGATTCCCACCATTCGCCATTTCATTGATGAATTCGCATTTGGCGTTGGAAAATACTTTTCAGAATACTAGTAATTCCGCTGAAAACTACAAGCTGTGATAGATCAACTAGTTGCAAGTTGGAGCAGACGGTATTCACCTTATATATAACATCACGATATGTTGCAGCTAGCTAAATAACTTCTTGAAACCATAACCACAGTTGAGAGAATATTCTCTCAACTGTGCCATAACGGTTCGCATATTTACGTTTCCTATACAGCCAGCGCGATAGGTCGCTCTCAAGAGATAGGGAATGGAGTGCATCCTGGAGCACACCGTTTCCTAGCTGATATGCGCGACCAACGACCATCGGCGTTCCCGCCAAGGAAGAAATTGATTGCGAATTGTTCATGCAAGCTCTATGCGAGAGTGAAATCACCAGTAAATATATGAATTTTATTGAATATTTCGACAAAATATGGCAGAGAAGACAGGATTGGTGTCATTGTTTTCGAAATAAACTGTGCAATATGGGCCATAATACAAACAATTTACTAGAAGTATCAATAAGAGTTTTTAAGGATTTGGTACTACAAAGATGTAAGGCTTTCAACACAGTATCCTTAGTAGAATTCATCTCTTTATCACTGGAGGACTTCTACAAAGAAAAATTGTTGCGTTATGCTAGCTCCAGGGATAACAAATTGTTAATTTATTTTACTAAATTTTGCAAAAAATCGGTTGATCTTCGTGTTGTGAAAGTGTCAGCTGCAAATGAGACATTTTCGTACCAAGTCAATACAAAGTTGGAAGTGTGTGACTGTCCAGAAGGGGCAGGAGGGAAATTTTGCAAGCATCTGTTCGCTGTATATAATACTGGTGTGCAGATGCACAACGTTTGTAATATTTTTTTACAAGACAAAATAGAACTTGCTACGTTAACACTTGGAAATACTATCAGTATAGTGCCAATTTCTTCAAAGATGGATAAAGAAAAAGATAACGAAATTACTGTAGATTTTGGCGAACCCATGATGTTGGAAACGGAAGATGGCCTTAATGAGACGACTCCTGATGAAGAAAATAATTTTTCGGTTGAAGTGAACGAAACTAAAACTGATGGATCAGTCGAACTCAAAGAATTCAAGGACAACTTGAAAAAGATTAGCAGCTTCGTGGAATCTCATCCAGCACAATTGTCTATTGTGACGAAGTTCAATAAGCAGATGAAGAAAATGGACAGCGAAGCTTCGTTCTATGCTCTATGTTCCTCGTTTACTAGTCAGAAAAAGTCTCACAGAATTAATGTTCAACCTACCTCTATTGCTAGAAGAACATCTGCTTACAGAGGTGCCAAAGCTATACAAGCGGGTCGGCCATCTAGCAGCGGAATAAGTTCGAAAAAGAGACCTCGCAAAAAGCGTTCATTAATAGTAAACATCCTACAAAATACCACGAACGCTGTAAAACTTCCGTTTCATTGTCAAATTGTGTCTTCTTCAGACTGAAAATTAGTGTGGAAAACAAAATCTGTAAATAATCCTGACCCATGCACCACAGAGCAGCCGATGGTCGTTTATCGTTCGTCGCGCATATCAGCTAGGAAACGGAGTGCTCCAGGATGCACTCCATTCCCTATCTCGTGAGAGCGACCAATCGCGCTGGCTGTATAGGAAACGTAAATATGCTAACGGCATGACTTTTTGAAACGATTTAATCGACCTTTGAGTAGATTTTAAAGACGTCTATTTCGCTTATTCTTTACGTAACCCAACGTAACCGACCGTCTTCTGCTCAACTTTCTTCAGCGTAGGTTGTGAGACAAGCAGAAGACATCCGATGTCTTTTTGTATACGGTTTACGGGATGATTTGTGGCTTGTGCAATTGTTTCGCTGCCATTATGTTTTTTGTAGGTGTTTCGAATTTGCAACGTTCGAAATGTATTCTTCAAAACCAGACAAATTAACGCACTATCCGAGAGTTAAGAGTCTTCTATTACTGAGTCTTGAGATAATTTTTCCTTCGAATCATGAGTAACTGCTCTAGTGAGCTAGTGATTCTCCTTGAGATACGTTAGGAAATGCACCATAATCTACCGGAAATAACATTTGAACGCTCACTCTAGCCTCATCCATTCTCAACATTTTCCTCTTTGTTTCTATTTTGTAATTTGTTTCACTTTATTATCAGAATATTCAATGAGATGGACCCCTTTGATGACGATGTATATGCGAAGAATACTAATTCATTATGGGGATGAGAATCACAATGATACTACAATTTTGGAATCATTTTGAAAAAGCAGGCCTATGGAGGTAATGATGTGAAGAGTTTTCCATTTCCCCTGTGTCACAGTAGAAGGAATATCATGGATTTGCCAACCTGTTCAGTCATCTCTAAAAACATCCTAATTGAGTAAGAATCAATCTGCTATGCACATATTTTGCTGAAGATATTAACGAAGGTCAAGCCATTTGATTCTATTTGAATAAATTGGAAAGTTATGACGGTCATTGCGGATTTTTCTCATTTTTACGGTGCCAATCCCTATATTTGAGTAAAAATTAAAACACCTAGAACACTGTGTCACCAGAATTCCTCCGTAATAATTATAAAAATGAATATTAGAGTACGGACAGTAGACAAGCAGTGACAATCAAACATAACTATACAAACGATTTTGAAGCAAATCATATGTTTTGCCAGACACGGATAAGAATATGTTTTTCGCTCAGATAAAGGATCCTCGCATCTTCCTTCCTCCACAAGTCCTGGGAAGAGTACATCCATACATCTCTCTCTGACTTTGATTTTTGTATGAGAGTGTTTATCGTCTCCTCGAGTGGGTAAAAGGGTACGATGAATTGATTAAAAAATTATTTCTTCTCCAAGAGGGAATAATTTCATTGCCAAAGAATTCCAAAGCTTCGCCGTTCTTTAGACGAACGAGTTTTGGTATAGTGTTGATCGCCATTTTTCAAGGTCAACGACGAAAGGATGTGATGACTGGGCCTGTCGAGTTCGTCTGACTGGAACTGCTAGGGATGAAATTATAGCGGATATTTTAGAGGAATATTTCCCGTGAAAGTATCTATAGAAAAGTGAAAGGTCGCTGACTAGGGTGTTCTAATGGAGTCAAGGAGTTGGTCAGTGTGTCATCACCCACCAGGCAAATGGCTCTTCTCTGGATGGAATCTAAGAGCATCAGCGTATGTTTGGGTGCTGAACCCCATACATGAGTACTGGCCGTATCTGCGCTACAGCTATAGAGATTCCCCATGTTTTTCAAATGTAGTTTGCCATACATGGGCGACGTAGACAAGTGAATCTCCAGTTGATCTTCGGTGGCGATTCATGATTATTCGTCCTTCCTCAGTGCTCTCCGTTGACATACAGTATGAAGGGATAGTCAAACCATTGAATAGACGTTTTGTTTTGTAATGGACATGCGACAGGTGCCCTTACGAGGGGAGTGTACCAACACTTGACGTCTATTATTAAGATATCATTTTTTTCCTCAAATCTAAGATAAAATTATTGTTAGGGTACATAGTTTGAACATCCGAAAGGAAATTTTGGGCACACCATGTACCTATGCAATGAATTTTGCAACATTCCAGTGAAAATTCTTTGTTCGCATTCGATAACATGATGTAAAAAACAGACCTGAACCGGTCATGGTCAATAAAGCATTGGAAAGTCTATAGTTGGAAACAAAATTATTGTAATTTTTCCATTATCAATTAAGACGAGATATTTTCTAATCGTACAATTCGGTATGCAACACTGATGAGAAGGAATTTGGTCAGCTTCATTTGCATATTTTCACCGCTGAATTAGCGAATTAAAATAAAATATAATTAATTATTGAAGTATATAGAATTTGGTGTATTCGTGATTAAATTTTCAAATATGTATCAAGTGATATATAGAGACATAAGTATACTTGAAAAAAATACAGTACCTACCTATTTGAGAATCATCAAAGAGCTCTTTGAAAAAAACTATTCTTGATATTTGTTTCCAACTATAATGTAATTTGGAAAGACGGAACTTCCAGTCATCAAAAGAGAAAAACAAGTACTAACTTAAATTGAACAGAAGTGAAATCTATTATTTTTTTCGAAATTGTTATGATGCATTGGGGATACTGTTATATAAGATCAATCTAATCAATAATGATCAATGATTTCAACAGTTATATACTATTCAACAGATTGTCTATTATATCGAAGTTGAATTGATGCAAAAACATTGACAGACGAGACAAAAGAAAGCATTAGCAAAATCGATAGATAATCGATTATATGCGATTATGAAGCTATGGAGTTTATCGATTGGGCTCAACATGAAAACATCTATTCATGTATTCACTCGCATTTTCAATTCAAAACAGAAAGCAGTTAATAATCACTTTCCCTTGGAGCGTATTATGAGGATATATTTTGGATTCTACACCAAACTCAGATTAACTTTCAATGTTACTATTAGTCAGCCTCTAGACCCCCCTCCCCCTCATAAAAATCCCTGACCTTCTTTGGTCATTACATACACTCTTCAAGTGGCCAAACTTTACAAAAACTTCAACATCAACATATCATATAAAACAACGTCAAATCTGAAACAACTACTTGTTAACTCAAAGGATAGGACCCCTTTGAACGAAAAATCAGGTATTTACAGACTTAAATGTAACGATTGTAATGCTGCTTATATTGGACAAACAGGTAGAAGTTTTGACATTCGTTTCTCTGAACATAATAGGTTAATATCAAAATTTCTTCCAACTGACGATCTCAATTCTCCTTCTTCTTTTGCCAATCACATAATTGATTCAGATCATACTTTCATTGATACTAACAATTCTGATATCCTCCACGTTTGCAATAAAGGTATCAGACTCAATCTCCTTGGAATTCTCGAAATTCAGAAATGTATCAATAACCAAAATTTTTTGTGCCTCAATGATCAGACCATCTTTGAACGTACTCGTATTTTCCGTATTTTACGTTTTTCATAATAATATTGTTTTCAAGTTTGTCGAGTTGACTCCGACTCTGTAAAAATGTTCTCAGACTCAGATTGCAATTTCTTCTCGTTATTTCCTTCTTTCTTCTTTTCTTTTTCTTTTTCTGTGTCTTTTTCACCTTGTGTTTTGTTTTGTCTACTCTTCTTGTTTATTTATTTTATTTCCTTTCCTGCTATTTTCATATCTTCTTCTTATTCTTTTCCTTCTTCTCACTCTTGATTGCTAGGTTGTGTATATTAGTTTCCTCTGACATTGACGTCAATTTCATATTCCTGTCATTTGTCAACATTGTCCCATGTCTACATTATGTCAATTTTGTCAATCCTTCAGATTTTTTTTCTATATATACCTTCATTTTGACAATCTTTTTTACATTCAGCTACTTTTTAACATGTGATCGATAAAAAATATTTCCATCTTCTTTGAAATGTTCAATCTCATTGAAGAGTCAGATTTTTCTTGCTCTTCAGCCGCTTCAAAGAATGGAACTGAATCCAACTCATCACGAAACTTATGTTATTTAATCTCAACGATACTGTTTGTTTTCCTGACCCATAACAGGTTTGTTTTATTCTGACACCACATACATGTTTTTCGTTAACATTAGTGATGTATTTTAGGTCGTTTTAGTCTGATGATGGCCGTTGTGCCGAAACGGGTCTTTTTCTAATTCAAAAAATTTTTGATATACCTAACGTGTGGGACAACTTCGAGAATGGATGATTTTCATAGTTTATTTTCAATTCAAATTCATGAAGAACTACTTCAATATTTCGACTATCATTACAAGAGAAATGGAATTTGTCATTCGGACTATGTTCATAAAATGTGAAATTACTCGAATTATATAACGATTTAGACAAGTTACTTCGATGCACAGACTTGAGTCAATTGGTCTATAAAAATTCTAAAACAACAATAAAACCAGGAAACTGCGTCTAGAGATGTCATTAACATAATGCCCATTCATACTTGTTGGTACTTTTGGCCTTAATAAGCTTTGTTTATTGACATGTGCTACTATACAGTACGTAGGATAGAAAATTACAGCATTAGGTGCATTTTAAAATGATACTTCCTCCGCTTGATGAAACAGACAGGAAGAAGTGCTATTATGGGTACTTTTTATTCTGATTAAAAATATGAATGTGGTATTTGAGCAACCAGATTTGTCATGATGGAACAAAAATCCAACGATTGAAACAGTTTGGCTTGCATTTATTGTTATCAAAAATGAAAGATGGAAGAGAATGAGATTCTTTTTGTCTCTCGGATTATATACAGTGTGAGTTATAACTATTGGGACATAGACTTAGGGCG